TTTTTTTAAGGTTAAGTGCCACTGCCCGGTATATATTTGCCCGGTATACCCTACACTGATGTTTTTCTAAGGTCAAGTGCCATTGCCCGGTATATATTTGCCCGATACTCCAAACACTGATGTTTCTTCTAATCTATCGTTAGTAAGTATTAAAATACAGAATAAATATAAATATATCAAATAAATATAATAATATCAACGAATAAATTAATACAAAATTGGATATAACAAATATTTCGGACATTCACCAAAGCGACTATGTGATTGTTGACATTCACCGGTGAGAGTCGACATTCTTTAGATTTCGGTCATTCACCGTAATACATATATATATATATGTTACGGCCAAAGCCCGAAGTCGGCCAATTCGCGCGCGAATTGGACAAGAACGCTGTAAATTAGCTGGCCAAAGTCCGAAATTTTTCTTGATTTCGGGAACTGGCCGGCCAGATCGCGAATTGGCCGAGTATGGCTGGCCAAAGTACGAAATTGTTCTTGATTTCGGGACTTGGCTGGCCAGATCGCGATTTGGCCGAGGATGGCTGGCCAAAGTCCGAAATTGTTCTTGATTTCGGGAATTGGCAGCACAAATCGTGAATTGGCATGGAAAGATCAGCCAAAGTGGAAGAAAAAATCATTATACCAGGCAAACTGGGAAAATGTATACCGGGCAGTGGCACTTGACCCTAAAGAAACATCAGTGTAGGGTATACCCGGCAAATGTATACCAGGCAGTGGTACTTAACTACACCTAGTATTACAAGACCTTTGGTATGCATGACAATTAAATAGACAATTTAATAATGATTATTAATTTAATGATTATTTAATAGACAATTTAAAAACTTTTTTTTTATATTTTTAAATCAGAAGATTTATAATAATTATTTATATAATTATAGAAGGCCGCCAAAGTAAAATATTCACTGATCGTTTCAACTATTTCGGACTTTGGCCAGCCATCCTCGGCCACTTCGCGATCTGGCCAGCCAATTCCCGAAATAAAAAAACAATTCGAACTTTGGCCAAGAGGGCCGGCCAATTCGCGATCTGGCCGTAACATATATATGTATTTAAATATCATCAGTGTCAGAACACAAAATGACTGGAGAACGTAACGAGTCAAACATATTGCAATAAGGAAAGATGTTTAGCCAGGAGGGGAATATAAGAACATTAATACAAACCTGACTACGGATGGTATAAAGCTAAGCACATATGGCGCTATAGGGATTGAAATTCTTTCTATTGATTTTTTACGCTTGAAAAAGGGCTCCATCAAATATTATTATTCTAGCAGTGTATATAATATAACGCTTTCATTCAATTATAAATTTCAACGAAACAAAAAGCATATGAATTCAGAAGACTGCGCAAGCATGCTATTCTCGGCAAGATGCAAAACTAACTGACGATGATACTTTACACAAGTATAGACAAATAAGGAATAACACTCAAAACACCTTCAACTTTATTTACTTTGCGATATTCTTCAATTTGCTTTAGGTTCGCAACCAGTTAAAATTTATGAATTACAGGAAATTCTTATGAATGGTGAGATTTCGTGTTAATTTAAACATAAATCACATTAACAAAACTTCCTTATGCCTGTTCAAGCATAGCCTCTTAAGCATAATCTAAGTGGAAGGATACACCGAAAGTTTGATTTCTGTTTTTTATTCTCCAACCGTTTTCAACAGAGGATTTCATAACTCGAGTTTAACTCTTGCAGGAAATATAACGAGGCCTTTGATTGGGCAAGGTAAAACCATGTGACTTTGTATATAATATAAACGCGTGCATCGTGCATAAACAAATTAGCGTGAGTATCGCTAATTTAAGTGGAGAGGTTTTAAGAAACGATATCTTTCAAAAAAGTCTATTTCATCTAACTCTTTTTAGGTCATTATTTCTGATAGTTGGGACATATCTTTCTCTTCTTTCAACAGTTTCGAGAAATTCAAGATCTTCAAGCTCAAACGCAGTGATAGAATCCTCCATCTTTTTTGTTTACAAGCTCCTCGTCAATAGGTTACCCTCCGATAACACGGCAAAAACGGAGGGTTACCCGGAGAGTTAGAACTGTTGATGAAATCTGCGAGTTTGGCGAAATTTCGGCTGGAGAATAACGTTTCGCACTAAACTCGTGATTTTACTCTTACTCATAGATTACCCGGAGGTAATCTGTGTTGGTGAATACGGACGTTAGAAAGCTTGCTATTTGTCTATTTTTATCTGTCTATTTTTAGGCATTTATTTGTGCTGTTGGGCATATTTGTATGTGATGCCACAATTGGCATTACATATTTATTTTCTATCCTTTTAAAATATCTTTCATTACTTAAGCTTATTTTTATCAATGGAATTATATTTAAAATAAATCAAAGATTTAATATTTTAAAATGAACATAAAATATTTATTTCTTCTCTTTTTGATCAATGTAACGGATACTTTTTATTTCATTACTATGCAGACTTATTAATTCACTATCGTCTCTTATCGAAAACAAAAATCTATTCATAACTTTTTATTCTAAATTTGAGTCAAAATTTTAATAGCGGTAACACCTAAATTCGACACCCAATTCGTCGTTTTTTGAGAAGTATATATTATACAAAACAATAGCCCAAAACGATTTTTTTTCATTTAATTTATTTTACAAGATATTAACAATTAAATTTTAAAACTCTTTTTAATTAAAAAATAAATATCTAAGGATAGAATGAATGGATTTTAAAAAAATGCATCTCATTTTACGCGGAAATAATTGAAGTTTTTGATAAAATAATTATAATAAAACAAATGCTTAAAAAATTTAATTTTTATTGCAAAATTAAGTTGTAAAATGAAAAACAAAAATGTTGTTAATGTCGTACAAAGTTGAAGCAAATCCCATTTCAAAGTAAATTTTATTCTGAACAAAATGGCTTTTCAAAAAAAAAATGGATCGCAATTCCATAAAATGTTATAGCTTTTTTCGCGAAACGCTGCACCGCGGTGGGCTCTGCCACTCCACTCCGCTGATCGCTCAATTGCGCTGTATCAGTTAACTTGGAGGGAATTTAAAGACCTCAACTAAAGTTTCACAAAATAACAAACATTATATTGAAACATAAATATATAATTTATAATTTTAGGCGAATAATATTATGAATAAATAGTTATTTATAATTTATGCGCTGATTATCTCACACGCTGCGCGTTTTTTCATGTTTATACTTGAATTGTGACGAGCGTTTGTTAAGGTAGTTCGGAGTGCTGATCTACGTGATAATAATTATCAAATAAGGTAAGTTTCAATTGTTACTTAACTTAGTAATATAAACTTTAATAATAATTATTGTTTTTTTTTAACATAAATCTACATTTCTAAGAAATACATTAATTGTACGAATTTGATTTGTATATTTATCACGAAATTTAATTATAAACTTACAGATAAAATCAAGAAATGAACTATTGCTGCAATCCGCTGAACGAATTAAAGCATCGAAGTGTCTACAAAAATGTTAAGCTTCTCATGGCGAAGGGGCATGCGATGGTATTGGTGGGACGTTGAAGAGGGAAGCAAGAAAGAGTAGTTTACAAACACAAAATATAACAACACCTAAAGAATTGTTCGATTGGGCATGCAAATTTTTCGATAATATTCAGTTTGACTTCTGCAAAAAACTGAACTTGAGAATGAAAAAAAAATTGGAAACAAGATCTAAGAAAGCTTCAACAATTTATGGAACTAGAGAATACCATACTTATTTAGTTGAAAATTTTGAAACTCTCAAATGTAAAATATATTCTTCTAGTTCCAAGTTTGAACTCAAAAAAATATG